CACCTTAAAGACTAACGGATTTATTTGGGTGTAAGCTTTCATGAGTAGAACACCACTTCTATGTGAAGAAGTGGTTTTTTTACCCATGAAAGCTTGTGCCCAAATAAATCTGTTAGGCCTGGTCTACACTGCGGGGGGGTGAGGGGGGTGAGGGGGGAGATTGATCTAAGGTATGCAACTTCAGCTACATGACTAATGTAGCTGAAGTCGATGTACTTAGATCTATTTACCACGGTGTCTTCACTACGGTGAGTCGACTGTTGCCACTCTCCCGTCGACTCTGCCTGCACCTCTTGCCGCTCTGGAGTACAGGAGTCGATGGGAGAGAGCTTGGGGGATTGATTTATCACGTCTAGACTAGACACGATAAATCGATCCCCACTGGATTGATCGCTGCCCGGCGATCTGGCCAGTAGTGAAGACATATCCCCACTCTTTAAGGTGCCACCGGACTCCTCATTGTCAAGTTTAATCCCATCTTCTGCCTTCCCTCATTAGTGATTATCTTGTTAGACATAATGATGAAAAGCAGACTCAGTTATACATGTAGAACCGTATGCTACAGTATAAAACACTAAATAATGGATTGCAAATATCTGGTTTGACACTTGTATTTTTATTTGTTTTGTAGCATCTAGTACAAAAGTTATAATTGAATGAGATCTTTTGAAATATATACATTTGTCTAATTCAGGAAAGGAGTGACAAGTAAGGTAATCCTTTAATGTACAGTAATGATCAACGTCTCAGCAAGTGATGATAATTGTGCAGGTCTTCCAAGGTGTTTGCAACCCCTCTCATCTTGGTGTCATCTGCAAATTTAGAAGCCTACTCTCCATTCCACCAACCAAGTCATTAATGAAAATGTTGAATAGTACTAGGCAGCAGCAGCTGCATCTGTCTGGAGCTCAAGATGTATGAGGTCAGGAAGCATGCTCAAGGCAGATGAAAAGTCAGTAGGATCCCAGGAACATACTCAGCATAGATGAATGTATGACTCAGTCCAGCTGCCAGCTCTTGCCAAGACTTTAGGCCACTGACAAATTCATTGATGGCAACCAGTCTGTTTCACCTTGTGGAGGAAAATTTGCTAGGGCCTAAACTTTAGTTGGCTCGGGCCTGAACTTTGGTTCAGACCTGAACATTAGTTAAGTCTATTGTAGGTGAAAGGTTTTTAGAGGCAGAATAGAGGAAAAGTATAAAAGCAGAACTATCTATAGTTATAAGGCTTATGATTCATAATGCTGAATTAACGGTTTGGGGGGGAAGTCTGGAAATCACAGTAGGACAGACTGTGAAAAACAGGAAAGCTTAGAAACCGCAATAAGGCAGACTGTGAAAAACAGGAAAGCTTGTTAAGCTATATTCCTTTTATGGAGAGTGTATTCCAAATATGGCAATAATGCTGATAAGAAAGTATGCATTTCATAATTGTGGTTTTATGTTATATAAGCTGTGTGAAATTCTGTAATCAGGGGGATTGCTAGTTCACTAGTACCCCCCATGCATGCATGAAAATAAAAAGGCCTCAGGCGATTCTGATCCAAACACAACGCGTGGTCATTTTTCCACAACAACCTGTTAGTATGGTGAAGATGGATATTGGACTTATAACAATGTGTTTAGACTTTATAAAATGTTTGTAAATTCTTGCATGCATTAATCTCACTTATAATTTTTTTTATCATAGAAGATTAGGGTTGGAAGAGACCTCAGAAGGTCATCTAGTTCAATCCCCTGGGCAAACCAGGACCAACCCCAACTAAATCATCCCAGCCAGGGCTTTGTCAAGCTGGGCCTTAAAAACCTCTAAGGATAGAGATTCCACCACCTCCCTAGGTGCTTCACCACTCTCCTAGTGAAATAGGTTTTCCTAATATCCAACCTGGACCTCCCCCACTGCAACTTGAGACCATTGTTCCTTGTTCTGTCATCTGCCACAACTGAGAACAGCTGAGCTCCATCCTCTTTGGAACCCCATTTCAGGTAGTTGAAAGCAGCATCAAATCCTCCCTCACTCTTCTCTCTTCTGCAGACTAAATAAGCCCAGTTCCCTTAGCTCTCCTCATAAGTGATGTGCCCCAGTTCTCTCCAATTTGTCCACATCCTTTCTGCAGTGGGGGCCTCAAAACTGGACGCAATACTCTATATGTGGCCTCACTATACCTTGAAAGAACACCTTTAAACTATTTTCCCCAAAAAGATATTTTTAGTCTGACCAATGTTATCCTCATATCTGAATATTTTTCTGTGATTGAATGAAATGTAATAAAGTAAAAAATATCATAAAATCAGCTTTTAATTTTTGCCATTTCCAGTAGTCTTACAGTACAATCATGTTAAAGAGCTGGAATACAAACATCAGCAATATTTTAATTTATGAATAATTTGCCTTCATGCACATCAAAACAATGCTGCTCTTTCTAGGGCCTCAGATACAATTCCATTCAAATACCTATAGGATTTCTGGAATCATGGCAGTCCCAGCTACTAACTCCTTTGAAATACTAGCAGATTTTGCCCACTATGAAGAAGCTTTAGGGGTGTCCTTGCTGGGTGATCAGGATCCTGCAGCCATGAACAATGGACATTTTCTAGGAAAGCTCAGCAGTAGATTATTTCAGGTCTCTCTCACATATCCATGGTGAGGGAATTTCACAGCTGGAAGCCCGGAGAGAACCATTCAACAGGACGACACAGCGCTGCACAGGGCTGTTAGAGATTACCCTGAAAAATAAATGCATAGAATGCACACACACACACACAGGTGAATTAGCAGGAGATTCGCTGCCAAAATAGGAGGAAGAAAAACTCAAAACTTGGTGTTAAGAGAGAAGCAGCTCCATGGCATGTGACAGGGGTGATTGAATCTGAAGTGGATAGTAAGACAATGGATAAATAGTGTAATCTTCCACGGACTACATTAACACTAACACCTTGCCTTAGACACAGATTATCATGTCAAATTTGGTAGTATATAATTTACTTGGTTTTCACAGACAGCCAGTTTGGGAGCCTGGTATAAAAGTGGCAATACTGGAGGCCTCCTCCTCAGGGGGAGATGATCTCTTTACTCAGAGAAAATAAAGTGGGTAAAGCCAGCATAAACAGAGGCAGAATTAGAGGGTGCATGGTGTAGTGGTCAATCATACAATCGAAGAATCATAGAATATCAGGGTTGGAAGGGACCTCCGGAGGTCATCTAGTCCAACCCCCTGCTCAAAGCAGGACCAATTCTCAACTAAATCATCCCAGCCAGGGCTTTGTCAAGCCTGATCTTAAAAACCTCTAAGGAAGGAGAATCCATCACCTCCTTAGGTAACCCATTCCAGTGCTTCAATGCAGTGTACTGGGATCCTGAGACCTGAACTGTGACTCCACCGACTGTGTGAATTTAGGCAAGTCATTTACTTTGCATATCCATCAATTCCACACCAATAAAACTCATAATAATACTAACGTTCCACCAAGGTAATTTGCAGCTTCATTAATTAATGTTTGTAAAATGTTTGGATATCTTCAGAAGGAGCATGCTAGAGAAGTGTTATATTATTATTATCATCATCATCATCAAAACCATTGGTCAAAATCCCGGAGTCCTTAATCAGTTTTTAACCCTGTGTTTATTCTGGCTAACTTTTCCATGATTTCAATGGGACCATTGCGTGTATGAGGACTGATTATTGTTTCAAAAATTGGCCCTACAAATTAACCCTAACTGGGAGCTCAACTGTAAAAATATGTGAAATGTATTTCTGGAAATGTATTTATGAGATGTGACAATGTTTTGTAACAAATGTTGAAGGGGAAAGATGTGATAGAAAGGCTGAATTAGTGTCAACAAAAAGGCCTACTAATATGGTTCAAAGATTATATTGAAATCATGCTTGATGAAAACAGAATATGTGCAACCAGAAATTAATAAACCAAAATTGGCGTATAAGAAACTAGGTCTAATTATTTAGTTCAACAATGTGGGGATGGGATAATTGCCACCATTCCCTTTGTGGTTCCTTAAAGAAAAAAATACTTTGGGGAGAAAAGATGAAGGCTACTAGAGCAAGCTTCACCATCCTGGCTACCACCCCCACAGTTTTCTAGGACCCCAGCCCTTGATGATATTGATCCTGAGAAATGTCCTGACCAAACAGGGCCAGAGAGAGGGCTCCAGATGACATTGCCACCCCTACGAGCTCCAGCTGAATCCCCCAAACCACCTGGGCTGAAATAGGATTGAACTTTAACAGCAGCAGCAATCTCAACTAACTTATTTTCTTTTCCCCAAAAGGCCAGTTACTATCATCTTTGATACCCTCTAAGGGCTGGTCTACACTGGGGCGGGGGGGGGGGGGGGGAGGGAAGATCGATCTAAGATACGCAACTTCAGCTACGTGAATAGCGTAGCTGAATGCGAAGTATCTAAGATCGAATTACCTGGGGTTCACATGGCGCGGGATCGATGGCCGCGGCTCCTCCATCGACTGCGCTACCACCATTCACTCCGGTGGAGTTCCGGAGTCGACGGTGAGCACGTTCGGGGATCGATATATCGCGTCTTAACGAGATGCGATATATCGATCCTGGATAAATCGATTGCTATGCTAGATGTACCCTAAGACTGTCAGACAAGGGGAGGTTTCCTTCTAAAACTCTCCAGCTAAAGGGAAAGGGAAAAAGGCATGTTGTAAAATAAAATCATACTTTTACTTTACATTTCAAATGCTTTATCTGTTTTTCTTTCTTTTTTGGATCTTTAATACAAGGTTTAAAGGATTTTTAATTGTGTATTTGCCATGATAGTAAGCTGGATCAGGTCTCTGTACACCAAAGACCCAATATTGTTTAACATTGTTTAAAGTTGGTCAGTGATTTGCTTTTGGTAACATGTTTGGCATATATATATTTTCCTATCTAAATTAACACAACACTAAACACTAAGGATCTCAAGACTTGAGCCATTTTTTAAACCACAAAATCCCCACCACCATTAATAACTAATATCAAACTGATTTCATATCATTGACTCCTGAGCCATCTTCCCAGGCCCACCCAGAGCCAGTGCTGTTCCTCAATCCAATCCAGTGGGCTTCTGTGTGGATCACCGCAAACAGGTCCTAGAATAGTTTTCAGAGAGACAGAAGAGACAAAGAATCTAAACAGGAGCAGCCTGAAGATTCAAATCCCGATGGGCAAACGGAGCAATCTAATGCCAGGGAGAGAAATAGTACATTTTCAAACATCCAGTAGGCCATCCCTTATATTTGGACCAGCCCTGTGAGACAGATAATTTCAGCCTCTTTAATAGTCCAGTGAATTCTGGGTCTTGTGAGATAGACCAGTGAAGAACTGGGAATTTAGAGACAGGTTGTAACCCCTCTTGTGGTGGAAGTAAGAGAAGTCCTTGCATCTGCAGGACACATGAGGATCACAGGTGTGTCCCAACACCCTGTTGTTGTTCTTTACATATCTGTCAATGTTACAAATGAATCACTACTGTGCCAGATATAGATTTTCCCATAATCCTACAGGTCTCCAGGACAGATGTCCATTTCCCCCATAAACATAAAGGGCTCAGAATCTTCACAACTGCCAATGGTACTGTTGTAATGTCAGGTCACAAATCAAAGTACACAGCTATTTACCATTTCCTGGGCATCACTGATCACCAGTAGATGTGATCCCTTTGCAGAACAGGATTCCTGGCTAGAAAGCCAATCCTTTTTTGTCCTGGAGAATAAGTAACAGCTGTGTCTGTAAGCCACCCACTGATCAGGGCAGCCTGAAGAGAAGTAACCTACAAAGAGATCATAAACGTATCTTATACATTACTCTTTTCATCCTAGAGGGTAGCAAAGTGTGCTGTAGATTAAATAAAGAGAATGCTCCCTTACTCACTGTAACATGGCTAGTCCTCGGAACACCAAGGAATCATGATTCATGTGGCCTCTGTAAGACCACCTCTCTCTTTGCAGTAACATTCCCTAAAGAACTATTTAAAATGCTCCCATCCTCCACACTGGAACAAATGACAGGAGGGCTGGTGGGCTCCTCAGGATTCTGGGAGAGGTTTCTTGTCCATTTTGTTCATTTCCTTAGAATCCAATGTATGTTCTTTCTTCTCTTCAGTGGTCCATCTTCAACCAAACTGCCTTTCAGTGCTAGGGTGCAGCCAAAATCACGATGGCTTATGGGTCAGCTCTACTGGTAGGAAGTCTCCCATTTGCTGTACAGCCTTGGGCAATGTGGAAACTGGTGCCAATGCACCCACATCTGCACCTTTGCTAGGAAACTTTTGAAATCTGCTCCAGTACCAATACACTAATTGATTCCACAGCCATCTGAGGCTCAGCCTTGTATCAATCTAATACTTGCTGGACAAAGGCATGTGGCTGTGCTCCCAAGGAGTGCGGCTTATTCCACAATCTCTGCCAATACTTTTCTGCAGTGACCCCCATCTCTCCACAATAGCAGCCTGTTCAGCCTTGTCATCTGCAGTAATATCCTAGGCCCACTGCACAGTTTGCTCCTCTCCTATCAAAAATGGAACCAATCTAATAGCTCAGGATTCCTTCTCACTGGGCTACAGTAACCACCAGCTCAAAAGTAACCAGGTGGATAATCTTCCAATCCCATTTGGGGCAAGGAAGTGCAAGGATCTATTGGCAGACTGGTCAGTGCAGCCATGCACTAGTTAATCTCTCATGTGACTTTGAAGTAGATGCTCCTGGAACTGTTGCTGCTGTTCCTGTTTGTCCTTCATAAATCACAGCAAAGCTCCACCTGGGCTTGTTTCTGTCTCACCAGGCAATTCTGGGCCTTTTCCCCATTTCACCTTACTCCAGACAGTGTTCAAATTGCACTCTGGACATGACATGCAAATGGATGGGCACCCAACACAGCATAGGCACCTTGTGTCAATGTCCAGATTTTCAGTGACCTTGACTGGGAGCTTTCACAGACAATGGGAGAGGCTGTTTGTACATTCCCCATCTGATGTGCTTTGCCCTTCCCTTGTGCACTCCTTCCCAGGCCACGGAAAACCAGGACAAAATGTGCATTTAGACATCACAGAAAAAGATAATTAAGTGCATTGATAAGAAGAATGGTTACTTGAAATTATTTCTAATGGTTCAGAGCAGATTCCTAGGGCCAGATCCTGCTCTCAGTCACAATTGTAAATCTAGAATAACCCCCCTATTTTCAGTGGTGTCAGTCTGTATTTAGACCAATGACATTAATATCAGAATTTTGCTCTTGGTGTCTTTCCTGAAAATACTTACCCTTGGCAGCTAAGGCCACTGCTGCTCCCAGTAACACCAAGAAGAGGATCCCCAGAATCACTGCAATGATCCGCCAAAGAAAGGTTGGAGCTAAAGAGTTAAACAGGAAGAGAATGAACATAAAGATGGTCAGAGTGAGCACCTGTCCCGAGAATCTGGAGTCTGACTACAGTTCGGGCAGCACCTGGACCCCAAAGCTACCCACCAGATCAGGTCTGAAAGCCAGCTTCAATCTAACCGCCATTGCATGTTGCTTGAGCAGTTGGGTACATTTCATGACTGCCAGAGCTGTGAGTCCTATTTTCAAACCTCAGTGACCGTGACCCTTATTTGGTAATAACTGTGGGTTAACTTCTAAGTAGCATCGCATTGGGTAACATAACAGAGGAACATTCTTACTTTACAATTCCAAAAGTCTACCATCAGTTTCCAGGGGTGGAGGAGTAGAGGTTTGATTATAAACATAAAACAGAAAATCTGTTAGCATCATGTTAACACGCAATACCTTTGCTCTCAGAGTTCCTAGGTCTTTGACTCCTCTGATGTTCAGGAGGAGTGTGATATTTCAGTTCTGTGCAAATGACTTCCTGTTCATTCATTCCTGGAGGACTGTAAGTGTGGAAACTGTAGACTCTGCGTTAGTGGATGATGATGGATAATATGCAGTGTAGTTACAGATATTTCTGTCCCAGGATATTAGAGAAACAAGATGGGTGAAGTAATATCTTTGACTGGACCAACTTCCACTGGTGAGAGACACAAGCTTTCGAGCTACACAGAGCTCTTCTTCAGGATGATGACATTTAATGAACAACTAATAGATCTATAAGACATTCATCACATCAGGTAAGAAATCTCAGGACATTGCAATGATTGGTTTTAATAATTACATTACAATAATCTGTATTAAAAGGAACAGAAATGCGAGAGGAAATGGCATAATGTAGTACATAAGTACAGCACATGCATTTTATTTTTTTGTGTTGTTATCTGCCCTCTATTTAAACATATGAACAATTAAAATATATTTTGGCTACCTCTGAGCCTCACAGAAACTGATGTTAAAATGGAACAACCTAAACCCCCTTTAATATTTTATACAGTGGGGCTGGGACTGTCTCTCACTATGTGTTCATACATTATCTAGTACAATGATTCCCTGATCTCGGTTGCAGACTCTAGGCTGTACTTTCATACAAATAATAATCATAGTAATTCTATATGCAGCATTTTGCTCTCCAAAGTGCTACCCATCTACAGAGAAACGAGGGGCTATCATTACTAGATAGATTCAGGTTATAAGAGGCTTGGAGGGGACAGTCAAAAGGATACAGGATAAAAAAAATTGAGGCTGGAAAAAACATTCCCATAAGTCCTTTTAAAAATTGACTTGAAAAATCCTACTCTTGGGAACAATTCAATAGTCAGAGGGATATGTGTAAGTGTGAAAGGGATAATGGACAAGATGGCCTTGTCATTCAAGGTCTTTTCTGCTTTTGATTTCTAGATTTCATTAAAGCTATTTGATAATAAGAAATCGTGGAACGGGATCACCTGTATTCACTACCTCTAAGAGATATTGACTAATACACAGAAAAGTAATCTTCAACTCCAACTGTCTATAACACTTAGAACAAGAGTTTATGGTTATGGTAGCAATATTATTTTTAGTTCTGTATTCTTTTATCCTTGGTGTAATGTGTTCATTTTCATTAATACAAACCAAGTCAATATTCCTAGATCCATTTAATACAAGTACAGGCCTGTTCTGCACACTGTTGGTTTTCTCCTGCAATTTGCTGATCATCTATGACATTAATAGGATCTGAGGGCACTCAGCCTCTTGCTGAAGCAGACCCTAAATCCACTTGACCGTTCCATTTTTAAATAACTCAAGTGATTGCATTCTCACTGTTCCTTTGGGAAACTATTGTACAGTCACTCACTGTTGCAAAATGCTTGTATTGTCTAGTGTAAATTTTTCTTAATGCTATACCATTATTTCAAATTGTTCTGGATATTCCAGAACATAATCTCTTTCTCTGTCCTTTGTATTTACATCTCCCAATATTTGTAGACTGTTTCATGCTCTCTAAACTCTTTTATTTTGTCATTAGTTAGCAACCATAGCCTATACCTACTCCCTTCTTTTTAGCTTCCCTTGGACCTCATTAATAAAATCAATCTAGCCCTTAATCACTGTTTTTATTCCTCCTCTGAATATTCAGATTTGACTACATATTTTTCATATGGAGAATGCAGAATTCTAGGTATGGCATCCTGCTCTGTGACAAGCTATTTCTGTTTAAACAAATCTAAATTAGTTATTGGCTGCTATATTATTCTGTTCATTTTTACCCTATATGTCTATTAGATCTCCAAAATGTCTTTTGTACTATTAAATCTCATTGTTTTAGAATATGGAATCTCCTTCCATAGAGGTTTTTAAGGCCAGGCTTGACAAAGCTCTGGCTGGGATGATTTAGTTGGGGATTGGTCCTGCTTTGAGCAGGGGATTGGAGTAGATAACCTTCTGAGGTCTCTTCTAACCCTGATATTCTATGAATATTTTCCCCAGATTCATTTTGTCTGGCTTGGTTCTCACTTTATTTCCTGTCAATGTTTCTAAATATTCTAGGTTGCAGAGTCCTTAATGTGCGCTTTCCCATGTAATGTTTCATTACTGTGTTATTCACCCATTTTTACAGATCATGAAAAAATACATAAGTAAACCCAGAGACTATACAGTCTTCTATGGTCCTCAACTAAACACCATCTTCACAAACAAGTGCATATGTTATCATTTACCTTCTCCCTTCATTTACAACTGTGACAAGGCTGGGCAACAGCAGCTGTACCAGCATTCTGATCACAGGAGCACCAATTAAATCACCCCAGAGTAAACCTGAGGGGCAAAGCTGTGCCTAATCAATAGTTTGTGGATGGAATGGAGAGAGCTACAAGGCTAATTAAGCCATTAGCCCTGAAAGTAGAAAAGCACAGGGAGAAAGTACTTGAGGGGAAAAGAGACTGTTAGGCTCTTCAGAGTCAGTGCCAGGAACAATGTCTCAGGGGGAAGATAACTTCTGTCTCCTTAAGGTTAGTATGCTATTGTAAATACAGAACTGTGTGTCTGTAAAGGTGGTGGGAAAGAGCAATGTAAATTAATTACACAAGGTGTTTTGACCAGAAGATGGTCTCCAAGTTAGAAAAGAGACAGGTGTGGGACCATGCCCTGTCGAAACAGCCTTCAACAGTTTTCAGAACAAATGACTTCATTCATAGCCAAGCTAATGTAAACTCTTGTCTCAAACATATTTTCTTGAGAGTCTATATCAAATGTTTCCTATTATCCCTGTATATTGAATCTACCAATTTCTTTGTCAGATGCTGAACTAGTAGATTTTTGTCTTTAAAAGGCAAAATAACTAGAGATGGGGCCAAATGATTTCCCTAAAGTTCAAAGTTGTTGAGACCCAGGAATTTAGATCAGACATCTCTATATCTAATGCATGTTATCCCAAGAAGGAGTAGAGCACAGAACTATAAACCGAAAACGACACATCACCTGGACTGTCTCACCAGTAAATCTTTAAATACACCATCAGTACCACTTGTACTAAACTATAAACAGAGAAAAATAAAATCAAAGTTATACATCTATATAATATCTTTCATGGTAAACACTCATTTCTTGAATTAGAAAACACAAATACATTTTGCATACATTAATTTTCTACTCCAATATTAAAAGTCCCAGAAACATTTGGCCATGATACCTTTGTTTGTACCTGTAGTTATTTGGGAAGAGCCAGGAGAGCCGGAATGTACTTTTCTGTGCTGTCTGATCAGGTCCTGTATATGTCAAATCCCAGAGAGAAAATATCTGTCCCTTTGGCTGTCCTGACCGAAGATGGAGAGCCCAAGCCAAAGGAGGAAGGTTTAGTCGCTTTGTGATGTTCTATGTGAAACCGCACAGGAAATTCATTGGCTGCTAATTTCAGAAGACCTCCCCCAGTCCAAAGGGCTCAGAATAAAGGGGCTTTCATCTTTGAGTTAGGGTGATGCTGACTAGGCCTTCAAAGTTTAGGCACAGCTATTTAAATGCTGAAGTTAATAAGCAGCAGTACCTATGACATGCACAGTAGTCAGGCCAAAGCGTTTGTAACACTTTCTTCTCATAGGACCTCAGCCTCTTGGAACAGGATCTGCAAGGGAAGTACTTGATGTTGCAGAGTTTTGGACATTTAAAATGGCAGGATGGCACTAGGAAAGTGCTACAGGGAAACACCCTGCATTGGCCCCAGGAAATGAGCTGGGGGAATCTAAAAATCTCTCATTTCTAACTTCTCTGACTGTCTGATCACCTGACTCAGCACTAACAGCTTCATTTCCACTGACAAGAGCACCAGCAGCTCGAGCAAAACCAAGACATCATCAATATTGCCAACCCCAACACCATCATCTTCATTCCTCTTCGCCCAGGTGGTGCAGTGCCAGAGTCCAGGAGACTGGAAACAGAGTCAGTCTCTGAGACAGATCAATGGGTCATGGTGCTTAAAAGTGACATGGGATGAATCCGGAACCTTGCCCTCTTACCATAGAGGCTAAAATGATGTAGGATTCTGAGGGAGTGAGGTGGGGTGAATATGCCCTCTGTGTCCTCAGAAATGAGAGGAAGGAGTTACTGTGATTCCTTGTAGGGCAGGAAAGATAACTGCCCTAACGGGAGTGCACAAGCTGTCAGTCCTGGATGGAGGGGTAAGAGCTGGGTCTGTTAATTGAGGCAGACTATTAAAGGAAATGTTTGGAGTGTGGATTTCCTGACAACCTGTTGTTTCTGTTATGTCTGCTAATTTTACAAATGAAAGGGGCTAATCACTGTTGTGCCATGTGCAGATTTTACAATAATCCTGTTTCCCTGTTACCCTACAGGGCTCAGAACTTTCACATCTACTAATGGTATTGCTGCAATGTCAGGTCACAGATCAAAATGCACAGGCACTTACCATTTCCTGGGCAGCACTGGTCACCAGTAGATGTGATCCATTTGCAGAGTCCAGGGAGAAGCACACTCTGCCTGGACACCTATCTAAGAAAAGCTTTATCTAGAGGGCATCATGCTAAAAGACAGACCATATAAGAGGCTGCACCTGCTCTGTCTTGGTCTCAGTTTCTTGTAAATTAATCCTTCCAGTGGGTCTGAAATAAAACTATTTAATATCTACAGCTGTATCTTTGCTTCACGCCACAGTGTACCTTATTATGCACTACTATTCCATGGAGAAGTGTTTTGCTGGCACTGCCTTCCACCATCTTAGCTTTAGGAGTGTCCTTACTAAGCAGTCAGGATCCCGCAAGCATGAACAATGGACATTTTCTGGGAAAGTGCAGATCTGTCACAGATCCATGGGGCAAGAACTTCATAGCTGGAGGCCTGGAGAGCACCACTGAACAGGACTCCACAGTGCCGGTGGAGATTACACTGCAAAAGACATGAAGAGGGCATGCACAGTGAGGGGAATTAGTGAGATTCTCTGCCAAAATAGGATGAAGAAAAGCTCAACATTTAGCACTGACCCCCACTTGGTAAGGCAAC